CGTGGCACTGTTTCCCCGGCGTGAGAGCGGGGGCGGTGGCGGGAGCGGGGCAGGCGGCCGGCGGCGGGGAGAGCCGAGCGGGCGGCGGCAGGGATTTCTTATCCCCCTCTGTCAAACGAAGGGAGCAAATTCCGAATGCAGACGGGCTTGGGCTCTGATATTTGATTTTTTTTCTAGTTTCAGGGGCCGCTCTGTGCTCTGCAAATAGATTGACACATGTACAACATCCCCAGCCATTCAAGGGGGTTCGCAGGGACACTCCAAAGGGAATTTTTTTTTTTCCCCCCTTTTTCTTTTTGGGTGGAAGATATTAAAGAGGTATCTGTTGTTTGGCAATTTTGCTAAGTCTGTCTTCATTACTTCAACATTGTGCATTTGCTAATTTGGAAGCCCCTTCCTATTGACAGCTCTGCTCCATACACCTGCAAGCAATTTGCAGAGCTCCAATATAGGAGAATTGCAGAGATGGCAGCTCGCACCTATTTTATTTTTTTTTCTTCGCTTTTCTCAATGCACAGCAAATTTGGCTTTCAGTGCGTTATCTCTTTTGTTAATGCAAAAAGATTCCCTGGGCGAAAAAATTGCTCATAATTACCAGAGAGATGGGGAAACTGCATTAGAATAAATAAACCTGAAATTACTGTAATTATGTTGTGTTTGATGGGCTCGGCTTGTAATCAAGAAGAGAATACAGTGAAATGATGCTGACCCTCTTGGGTTTGCAGCTGTACGCGCACTTTGGGGTCTTTTTTTGCAGAAAAGAGTCATTTTGATCATCATTAAGCTGTGTGTAACCTATTTCAGAAGTGTTTGAAAATGAGGGGCACTTTTTTTTTTCCCAACAAGGAAAAAATATATCCCAAAATTGCATTTTGCCATTTACAGGCTCATCCATAAGGTTGTGTTTGCGGGGTGACAATTGTTAAAGGTATAATATTCGAAATCAGGACTTAATCATTGTAATGAGGTATTGTTTCAATATAAGCACCTTTGGATTATTCATAGTTTAATTAATATCCTCATTATGAAAATCTTCGAATCAGATATTTGATGAACTACTTGTCAGCAACAAGGCAGAATTAATTAGGCCTGTATTGAGATTAACATTTTCAAATGTACAATTATAATAGACTCTAACTCAAGACCGCCTCGCTGAGAGAAAACTAATAATTTCTCTATTTTTACACTGTTAGCAAGACGTTATTGAATTAGGAGAAGCTAATATGTCTTTAAAGCGCTCCGAGCCGCTTGACCACCCCGCTCCCGTCCGGTCAAAGGCGTTTGGTCTCCGGCCGCAGCCGCCGCGGGAGCTGCGCGGGTCCCGGGGCCG